TGCTGCTCTGCCCCCCAGGTGGATCGCTGGCACGGTGCTGTGCTCCATCATCCTCCTCATCCTCGCCTGCAACGTGACGGGAATGGCCCTGGGGGCCTACGGGCTTTCCAAGCGGGAGGACCCGAGCGACTACGAGTGCCGAGGAGAGGCTGGTGCCAAGTTCCTCCTGGTGTAAGCATCCCCCTGCATCCCAGAGGGGATGTTCCATCTCATCCCCCCCTCCCAAAAAAAAAAAAACAAACCAGGAGGGCAAAGCCCTGGGAGACGGCCCCAGCGGAAAGGCTTTTGATGCCACCGCCTGCGCCGGGAGCGGTGGGAGAAGCGGCTCCTCCCTGGGAGCTGGCAGCTCCTGTGCCCTGGCCCCGCTGCCTGGCACACCCCGCTCCCAGGGCCCTTCCCAGCCCGGCGTGCCCAGGCTCGGGAAGGAGCCGCGGGGCTGCAGCTGGAAGGGCAGGTCCCCGCAAGCCCCGGTCCTGCCCTGGTGGGGCAGCAGAGCCACCACCCCCTCCTCTCCCTCCTGCAGCGGCGTGGGCCTGGCTTTCCTGTTCTCCTGGCTCCTCACCCTCCTGGTTTTCGCCACCTTCCTGGTAGGGGGCAACATCCAGACGCTGGTTTGCAGGAATTGGGTCAACCAGGAGATTTATAAGGTGGGTGGCCACACATCCACCTGACACCACAGAAATCTCTGCCTATGTGCACCAAAATGCCTCCAAACGCTCTCTTGTCCTCCCACTAAACCCGACTGGAAAAGCCCCATCCTAGACCAGAAGATTAAGTTTAGGATGAGCTCCTTGGGTTTGCATCAGCAGCAGGGAATTTCCTTTGTGCTGTTAAATTTGCTGTCTGTGGCATCCCTGTTTTTTCCTGGTCCTTGGGGATCCCTGGGGTGCCTGGGGCTGGCACGTGGTGTGATGGTGCTGAGATGGGGTTGGGGGGATTGGGGATGGGATCAGGACTCATCCCATGGCTGTGCACATGCAGGCAGGTCCCAGCACAGGGCTGTCCACTGCTCTCCCTCTGAACACACTGGTGAGTCTCTGCAGTGGGGACTGTACAAATAAAGGCAAGATTAGTTCTGGATGGGATGAGGTACCTCAGGACACACCTGTGAGGGCAGAGCACCCCCAAAACGATTGCTGGGAATGCCTGTGCCTGACTCTGACCCTCTCTTTCCTCCTGTTTGGCCCAGTTCATCGACACCCCCGGGAATCTCCCACCATCCATGAACCTCACCCGCCAGCTCAACCTGAGGAGGGACTCCAACCTCAGTGCCATGTACCGGTGGGTGCTGCAGGGGCCCACCCCTGTCCCTGCACATCCAGGGCAAATCTGAGATCGTGCTGCCAACGTCCCTTTGCCTTCCAGGGAGTGCAAGAGCGGCGCAGGGCTGTGGGAGGTGCTGCAGCTCGACAGGTCCTACGACCTGGACGAGCACCTGAAAACCCCCAAGGTGAGGGCTGGCACCAACCGGAGCTGCTGGCGGATGCTTGGGGATGCAGGAGCTTTGCTGGGGGGTTGCTGGGGTGGAGGTGCCTGGCCCCAGCCCTGCAGGATCCCTTGTCCAACCCTCACAGTACACGGCCGACTTCCAAAAACGCCTGGGGGACTTCAGCGCCCGCCTGGGGGACGTGCGGCTCCTGCGCAGCGAGGGCAGGCAGGACCTGGAGACCTTCGCCCGCAGCGGCCTGGATGAGGTGGACTATGGGCGCTTCCAGGAGGAGGTGAGGGGAGCTGGACAACTCTGCAGGGAGCAGGATGTGGCCCCACACCAGAACAGCCCTCCAGGCTTGGGTTTTGGGCAGCCACCAACTCTGTTTTCCCCCCCAGATGAAAAACCCCGTGGTGCAGACCAGCCTGCCCGGGCTGGCCAGGAACCTGGAGGGGCTGCAGAAAATGCAGGTGAGCGGCAGGGTGGGTGATGGGGGATCCCTCCGTGCCCTCGGGGCATCCCTCTGTGCCCACGGGGGTGTCCTCACCCTGCTGTCCCCCCGCAGAGGAACAGCACGGTGGCAGGACGGCTGGGAGCCGAGGCCCGGGCTCTGTGGCAGATGCAAAACTCCACGGTGCAGTCACAGGAGGCTTTGGTGGTGAGTCAATGCAGGGCTGGTGGCTTGTGGTGCCCCAGTGGTGCCCCTTTGAAGGCTTTTTCACCCTTCTCTGTCCCACTGTCCTGCAGGCAAAGCTGGGGGAAAGCGTCCAGTTCCTCTCCCGCTTGGCGCCGCACCTCAAGGTACTTCCACATCTTCTTCCAGCTCCTAAAAATACCTGGTGCCCTATGGGTCCTGTCTGCCAGCGTCCCAAAAAACAACAGTTACAGGGTGATGGGAGAGCCAGGAAAAACACCATCCAGGGGGGATCAGTCTCCTTTGGTGATTAGATTGGCTGCTGCAAATCAGAAATCCCCATCACGACAGGGGCGCATCCCTCTTTTTCCCTGCCCTCCAGCAACCAGACCCAGCTTAGAGCTTGGCACGCCCTGCTCCCAGCACAGTGGGGTGCCCATCCTGCTGCTCTCTGCTCTAAGGGTGCTGTGCCCTTGCTGTTTTCCCCCAGGAGCGGGTGAGGAGGACACTGGCCTCCACGGCCTCGGTGGAAGCCCGGCTGCCCGCACAAGCCCAGCAGATCCTGCGGCAGGTGAGGCGGGGCTGGATGAGCCCCCGGGGGGTACAAAATTCCAGAAGGAAAGAGTGCAAGAGGGGAAGGAGCACCCGAAGCCTCCAGCTCTTTCTTCCAAGCCTGACATTAGCCCAGAGGTGGTTGGAGCAGGGCTGGAAATCGTGGCACTTTCCCTCCACTCTGCCTTCCCCCTTCCCAGGAGATCAGCTGCTTCACCAGGAAGGAGCTGCGGTACTTCACCCAGTACCTCAACTGGGTGGGGCAGACGGTGAGTGAGCGCTCCCCTTCACCCCAGGGGGATTCTTTGGGGCCAGGACCACCACCACCCCCCCCCCCCCCCAGATCCCACATGCAATCCCTGAGCCGAGCCTCGGCAGCAAAATGCATCCCGCCCCACCCCGAGCCAGGGGAGCATTTATTTATGCCTCTTCTCCACCCCTTGTTCCAGCTGAGGGAGGACGTGGCCTCGTGCCAGCCCCTGGCCACGGCCCTGGACAACGGGAGGGTCATCCTGTGTGACCGCATCGCTGAGCCCTGGGTAAGGATCCCATCCCTCCAGAGGGGACCTGGGAAGGGTCAGTGTGAGGACACTGAGGGCACTTGGTGTGTTCAGCTGGAGCAGAGGAGACTGAGGGGAGACCTCACTGCTGTTCCAGCTCCCTGGGCAGGGGCAGAGGAGGGGCAGGACTGAGCTCTGCTCTGGGGGGAGCAGGGACAGCCCCCAGGGAATGGCTGGAGCTGTGTCAGGGCAGGCTCAGGG